AATGAAGCTTATTTGTTCAAATAATTTAATGTATAAATAACTTTCATCGGTATTTACATAAATGAAAAATGATTTCGTAATACCAAAATGTATATTAATAAAAAACAATATCCATTTAATAGTTTCCTTTAGTTACTATTTGCTGCGCCCACAAATAATTCGTCGCAAACAGCCAATCAAAACAAATCCTAAAAACGCGAGCTGTCAAATTTACCTAGGTAGGTAGGTAGAATGGTGCAAGAGAAGTTACCGCCGTAGGTAGTTTTACTAGGTAGGTATTTTGCCGATTCTACCTAGCTCTAGGTATTTTGGTGCAAGAGGCCTAAGCTCTTTTAAATGGTTGTCACTTGTATAGCACCGAAGCGCATTGAGCTTACAAAATCCCTAGATACGTGTATTTGAAATCGTTGCGTGTCTGAAGAATGTGAGTTGTTAGGTGGCATTGCTCCATGTAATTTTGTGTTTGATTTTACGTGGACAGAAGTCTTCTCACTTTAAATTAATTACAACTTTGTACTTGAATGATTCAGCACATATAAACGTTTTAAATCGTTTTACTCTGAATATTTTTGTCTACATCAGTTACCCGCCAATCGTACTGAAAATTCAGTAATGAAATGTAGTGGCATTTATTCGACATCGTGTTGTAGTCCCTCCATTATCTCTTGGTCCTGGAATCAGTCGCCCAGGGTCCCACTCACCTCATTCGCTGGCGTAACTCTATAACATTTGTCATCGAATCACCGTGCCGCCCTCCCTGGACACCACACGACTCTCTGGGGTCTGGATCTCTGGTAATTTTTATCATCGGCCTGGATGGCCGGTGGGCACACGTACGTACCATTAATATCGTTCTCGCGCGGGCGGCCCGCCGGCTAACCCCATCAGAGCCGAGGTCCGCTGTGGGGCTACAGAGCTCCGGCGGGTGTTGGCTCGGCTGGGAACTTTGTCCGGCGAGGGACGCTCTCGGGTGGTACATTGGGCATGAGGAGGAGCGCTTTGTTTCCGATTATTGTGTATCAGGGTGTTTTTCTTCAGCAGATGCTGATTTACGCCACCTATATGTTTTAGATATAGTTGACCCACCTGATGCATCGCAACCGATTGATTTCTGGCACATACATCGCCTAGACATACGAGTATGACATGAATAATCGCATGCCTATGCATTTCTGTTTTCTGCTATAACGGAATATGTGCTTGATGCTTACGTGAATAGGTGGCATAGAAAGAAAATAATCTTATCAAATGTTGCATTCGGTAATTTGAGGCATAATTTTATAGGCTGATTACCACCTCTATTTTAATACATTTATCGTTCGAAGCAGCATAAACGCAGTCTGTCACTCTGTATTTCTATAATCCTAATTTAATGTTGGTTTGATGGTAATACGATTCACAACGCAGGCTCGTCTCCGGCGCGCTCGCTGCTGTTTCACTCTGTACACAATGGCGTCTGTCCCAAGCAATTTACCCTCCATAAATCGCATCAAATCCACTTATCCCCCGCGCGGGCCGGCCGGCGGCAAATTCGGCGCAGCTCACTCAATCCTGCGCCAAATTCGCCTTATCGAGTCATTATCGCTGCCGCTAACGTTGTTTTAGCCACAACGAGATCAGCCGACGCGTTGCCATGGCAATTGATGCGATCATAGCAGAAATGAAGCCGGTAGCTGATTGGCTGTGGCGTGGTGACGTGATCCTCTCGCACGCCGATAATGTGCTCAGGCAGAAACGAGGGTCCTGAGGGAATGGTTCGCGAGGGGGTTAGGGGGTGTGGAATTGGGGTGGGTGGTAGATGGATGTAGGACAAGGAAGCTTATATGAATATTTGATCGTACCCTCAAAAAGCGCGTGCATGTCGTGAGGAAGATAAGTAAACCAAAATTTCAGTTTTACAATGAACGATAAAGCCAGCTTACGGCTTTTGGAGAGGAGGACTACAGGCGGAACACATGCCTTTTCTTTTCACCGTACTCACTGTTTGGAATCAGGTCGGAGAAAACGTTACCACTTACCAGTCACCTCACCTTTTTAGGTACAAGTGAATGGATATGGGTGCTCTGGCAGTAGGACAAGGACAAGCGCAGCCACAGTGACTGGGCCAGGCCCCCCCCCCCTCCCGTCCCAGTTTCTCTCCCCTCCCCTAGAGCCCGCAGCTGGCGCGGCGGACCGGGGACATCCACTCTCGCCCGCGCTCAGTGGGGCACAGGTGCGCACTGCGTCCCCAGAGGCTCGTTCCCCCGTTACCGGAGGCCCGTGTGGCTCCGTAATTCGATTTGTACCGGGCTATAATCTAGCTCTAATCCAGTAAAAATGTCATGTCACCGCAGATGAGTCTCCGCGCCGCCGGATGGCAGTGTCGGTTATGATATTTTCTGTGAGCTGGAGGCGCCGGATACGAGATGGCACGTCGAGGTGAACGGGAGATGTTTGGAGTTGTTGGACACCTGTGCAACGATGAGGTGGAACCACTGAACTCTATAATGGAACGAGTCCCGAAGCGGCGGAAGCGAATGTTGAGGGCGATGTCTTCGATGAATGCTGACGAGTGACGATGCCAGAATCAAGATACCTATAAGAAACAGGTAGGTCCGATGTTTTGAGTCGTTTTGAGTAAAGCCCCCGTGACGTCATTATCATTTTTTATGTGGAGAATTCCGCCTACAAATAAAATATCCCACATACGAAAATTTGTATTATGTAATGAAAAATTACAATCTTTCAATTTCATTACGAAAACTATATAATTTATTTAAAAAAATTAAAACCCTTCAAGCGTTTGTCCCAACCTCCGCTACACCTTTGGTCACGTGACTACGGTGGTGATCTTCGCTTTTTGCAACGTTGTGACCTAAACGGAAGTAATAAATGTTGAAGATGTATTATTTATGTTGTTTGAAGCAGCAATCGTGTAACTAGATTTTGAAATTATTAATAAACTGCTGTAAAGAGGTCACGTGATGCTACCAGATCATGTACACGACAGCATCTTCTTGAACTTCGATTTGGAGTACTTGTACCTTCTTTGAGGCCTAATAATGGACGTTTACAGATATAAAATGAAACACTGAATCTAATGACGCCAACATTTAATCCTTTTTGCACTTCCAGACTGAGATATCCTGGCATGAACTTTGGCCAATTTGTGTGTAAAGCCTATGGTGAAGGGAAAACTTCACGCCCAGCTGACGTCACAGACCTCGGCTACCAAATCGTGTCCGGTGGGGGTCGGCCAGAATCAAGAGCTGGTGTGTGTTTCAAGTCGATGCTGTTCGTATCCGTGTCCTTTTTTAGGCGATTGGGATGCAACTTTTACCTTTGTAGGCTGACGAAAAAAGTTGCAACGCTTCCGACAGCTCCTCCCCCCCCCCAAAAAAAAGGCGTACCTACAAACAATTGAAGATCCATCACATCTCATTGATACATGTTGAATATGAACCCGATCCGCCTCAATAACATCTGTCACTGCTTTGGACTAACATAACAAATCATGCACTGCAGCACATCCACATTTGATATCTGAATGTTGCTTATATTCAATAAATATGCCTCAAAGATATTCTTGTTACATTGCATTCATTACGCTCCCGCCTAACCCCATGCCACCATATAAGGACAAATAGCCAATATCCGTCACACTATCATTCTCTCCTTAATTAGGGCTCCCATCTCTACAACAATATCAACAATACCACCACATATCTCCCGCGCTGATAGCCTATCCACCCAACCTATTTACCACATCATTGCCTAAACACCTCCCCAATAACTCGACTGATTTGCCGACTGATTCACTGGCACAATTGGATCAGCCGAGAGCCCTCTCTGCATTGACAGCGTTGCCAGTTATACAAACAATCAGCGAGTGGGGAGTGTATGGGTGTCCGCGCTCTGATTTAATCACTCGGATCGTTACCGTTGGGGTGGGATTGTTCTGAATGGTTGAGTCTTGTAGTGAGAAATGGAATGTCGTTATTGCGGATGAGGAGATTCGTGTGAAAACTTGGCACGGACTGGAGCGTGATTTGTTTTGTTTGTGGTTGTGAGAAGTTAAGTTTCGGCAGGTGTAAGGTCAAGGTCAGATCTGTGAGTGAAGTGAAAGTACCCGGATGCCGCCCATTTAACGTATTTAGAGAGATAAGACGATGATATTCAGCTGACAAAATGCTGCAATAGTGGCTTGTTCGGCTAGCAAGAGACGTTTGAAGAGTTTTGCTGATGGTCGTTGATGAAGAAGAAGGTAATTACTTATTAGGATGATGTTTCCTTCTTTGGATGTATCTTAATATGAAATTCAATGCGTGTGATCACATTTTATTTGTTAATTTAGTTAAGGCATAATCATTGTCATTTTCTATGCATGAATCCAGGCTTCTACAATGCATCTTCTCCTTTTCGAAACATACCACTTTTTATTTACTTTTTACTGAAGCACTTTATCTTGTCATTGCATATTACCACCAAAGCCCTGGTCACTCCTTCCTATTGAATCGTTCTGACGTCATTCAACCCTCGCTGTTTCTCTCCGCCACCTTTCGCGTCTAACCTGCACTTTTACCGTTGAGTAATTCCATTCTTGCCATCACATCCGCGTTAAATTGCGTTACTGTGCGTTAGGTGATTTGATTTACTCCGGCCCAACATCGACTAATTGACGTAATCCTATTTTCGCAAGATTCCTGCACCGTTCGGGCAGCCTTCCGGAGACGCAGTCTCGGTTAGGTTGGATGGAAGTAGAAAGTGTGGCGGGCGATCAACAGAAACGGAGAGTGGTTGGTGGGATGTGTTCAGTTCCACGGTGACTGGTGTTTGCCGAAACTCGCTCCATTTGATTTTTGTTTGGTGCTTGATTATCGTTCATTTTTGTTCGAAGTTTCGTCTTCTTGCGTTACGAATATTTAGTGAGATGCAGTAGGTATCTAAAGTTGTGGTGTTATTGCGCAAGAGTGTTACATATTCATAGAGCTTGCTCTACATGTGCGTTAAACAATCTATAGCTCTTTAATATTTATTTTTATTTTGTAGCCGTATGCTTCGAGATCATTCTATAATACCCCCATCGGCAAAGACACTGACCATAACATACTGGTACGCATGCATATTAAATTATTATAGCCTCTACAAATGTTAAATGATAACGTTACCACATAGCACAAATAACTCAGCATTCGTAATCAAAGTTTGAACAATATTGCACGATACATAAGTTTTGAACTTCTTGGGAATGACATTTGTCATCCTACGCTGTTACAGGTGACGTGCTTTACAGACACTGTTAGAACCAAAGCAGAGTAGCATCACACCAAACACGATGAAAACTTTTTCTAGCAAGGCTTGGATACGAAAGGCAGCGAATGTAGGTAAAAAGTCGCATTATGTTATAGTTCTGCCTTATGCTCTTCTGTAAAATGACAAGCGTTTTTCAAGATTATGAAAGAAACCTAACTGATTTTCTATCAAATACATCAAAACACACCTCGAATCACGTTCACACGCATTGGCGCAAAACAGGTTGACACCTCACAAAATTGTTTCATCCATGCAACCCATCAACAATTTCTTTAAATCATTTCTATCGTGTCATCCCTCTACAAGGTTGTGTAGTTCGCGACGTAAAACACAGCTATGTCTTATGATAGCGATTTCCACTATTTACAATGCAAAGCTCGAACTTTGTCATAAGTGACAATAATTGTGAGATCGTCGGCTCACTGACAAGAAGTCAACCACTACTCGGGCGACTAGCTCGAACAATTAAAACATGAACACCAACTTCCTGTCATAACACCTTGTGATCTCTGTATACGCTCCACCTCGAGACATAATTCCATTTTGCCGTTTTTCGTATCTCATTGCGTTTTACCATGATCACTATCTTGTCTGCATACATCTGCCCATCTCTGCTCACTTTGTCTTTTCCACTGGGTCTCCAACCCATCTCATGTCTCCAACGCTGGGTATTTATCCAGGCTTAGCTCGGTTAACGGCTTATCCAGACTTAACTCGCTCATCGAGTGAGACTAAGCGTTTTCGTCTCCATGTGTGTTTCTACTGTGTCCATTCCTCTGCTACTCTCACTGCTTCAATGAATCTCCGGATAATTTCACTTTATTCTCATCCGATTCTTCGAGTGTCCTCACGTTGTCTCATCTGGTGTCTCGGCATATCCTCCCTGCGTCCTCCCGGTCCTTCCTCGATGTATCGCTGGGTGGTTTGGGTTAAGCACCATATCCGGTGGACCAAGTGCTAACCGGAACTCTCACGCTGTTCCAAGCGGTCAGGCAGCGGCAGTCGATGTATCGCGACTCATCCCTCCGTGTGTCTCGTGTCCTCTCCACGCCTACCGCCACCATCCAGTGCCCTCTCCTCATTCGAACTGACTGGGTCAACCGGAGAACTGACCGGGTCATCCGGGGGACTGACGAGATCACGGATACTGTATCCGCTGGATCCGGTCGGCGGAGGGGGAGAGATGCGTGGTTCGACTCCGCCCAAACGCGAGATGGTGCGCAGATTGGCCGCGTGCAGACTTTTGAGAACGGCGGCTGAGTACTCCTGTGGAATAAAAACGGGAGTTGTAGTTTTTGTTGCGTTGTTACAGTGGGTGTGTTGTAGATTAATAACGTGATTTTATGATGGTTCCAAGTGGTTTTGCTTCTATGAATGTCCCTTTGTCATAGCTACTAAAATTCGCGAGGGAAATATTAAAGCTTGTTTATTCTTGCGCAAGTAAATGCAGATATAAAGACTGAAATTCATCAGAATTTATTTCATTTAAGCCAAACTGCGGTTCTTCATAAATGAGCAAATCTAATAATTCATAATCTAACGTCATAAATGAGCTAAATGAGCTACGTGATGTAAAATGCAAGTTTTTTTGCACATTTAAAAAGGCCCACCTGCGCCTTTCTCCTGAGCTCCTCCACGCTGCTGGCCTGTGATTCGCTGTGACCCAGTGACGTCACCGGGCCAGAAATGACCGGACTCGACTGCAGCGAGAACGGACTCGGGAAAAAGGCCGACGGCGGGAACGGCGGCGCGTGCGTCTTGCCCGGGCAGCAGCTGCAGGATTGCGGGGTGATACCTGAAAGGGGAAAAATGGGAGGAAACGTTAAAAATCAGTTTTCAACCGGGTCGGTTGCAAAGAAAGTTAAAAAAAAAATCAAGCATCCTGCATTCAGAGGAAATGCTGGTAGCTTTGAATGCCAGGTAGGTGGGGGTGTTCGATAATTTTGATATGAATAGGACCATGTTTACGGAGTATGGTGTGTGACCCCAGGTCACTGGAATGTCTAAAACGTCTCGCGCTCGGTAGGACTCGAACCTACGCTCCCAGAGGGAATCTGATTTCTGGTCAGACGCCTTAAAACCCTATTAGTGGCAGGCTCCTGGCTACCCCATATTAGTGGCAGGGGGGGGGGGGGGGGCTGTTTACGACCCCCCCTTGATATCTCGAGATCTAACCGGCCGATTTTCAAAATTCAAACGGCATTCGATTTGGCTCAACGAGATCTACATTTCTAAAAAAAAAAAAATTAAAAAATGTCAATAGGGGGGTAGAGGGGGGTAAAAACGGGCAAATTGCAGATACATTTTAGACTGTTAATCACGGCCAGGTTTCTGAACCAATCTTAACTTAACTTTTGCCGATCGATAGAGAATGAACCAGGAATTCACATGGATCCTAAAAATATGCATTTTCAAAAATCATAGGCGGATACAGATCATTGAGATTGGGGGTACACAAAAAGTATAGTAAATAAGGTTTTTGTCGGTACTGTTTCTAAAAAGGGTGGCAATGGTCTTGTTATGTTACAATTTTCTTATGAGAGAACGACTAAAATTGTATTAGTCATGCCATGCATAGGCGGTGTCAGGGCACCTATGTTGGGAGGTAAAAAAATAACCCCCTTTTTGGACGCCTGGATCCGCCTATTATAGCAAAAACGTGTCAAAAGAGGATGCACAATAACTTTGTATATGTTATCACATGATACCTTTCATTCACTGTTCGTAAAACTGGTGCAGCATCGTGATCTTCGCCCAAATGACTCGCTTCACGAATAGGACCCCCCAATTCCCAGTGCTCTGGAGCCGCCCCTGGTAAAGTTATGAACTTGAAATTTTCAGGGAATGTGCCGAATTTAGTTTTAGGAAAAGTCAGAAAATTTCAGCATCGTAGCTTCAGCGGTTTCGGAGATATTCACGAAAAACCTGAGGGGTGGATAAAAACAACCCCCCCCTGCCACTAATAGGGTTAACCCTCGCCGGCACAGGGGGGGGGGTTGATGCAACCCCCCTAAGGTTTTTCGCGAATAACTCGCGTAAAAAGCGGCCGATCGCGACGAAACTTTCAGTACCCTCGCATTGATCAATTTTACACCTACCCTGAAAATTTCATGACCCTGACCCAAATGACCTTTGACCTGTGACCTCTTTTCCGAGACCATGTTTGGCCGGAATCGCGATTCCGCGTATGTCGGCTCGCATTAGCCGCGCGTTTGCAAGCTTTTCGTGGTTTCAAACGTTCAAACATGTGATTTGATGTTGCTCCCATACATTAGGGTGAGTGTCAAGGTCACCTGAAGGTCAGGTCAGGTCATTGACCTTTGGTGACCTCGGGTGACCTCGGTTCACTTTTTCGAGTTTTACATGTTTCTATGCTAGTTTTTGGAGCTGAATTCGAATTTAGCAACCATTTGAACATTTACGAAGTAGTTTTGGTGCCTTCGTAACATGTTACGAAGCTGTCAGAGGCGGTTGGCACGTATTACGAATACCTGTCACAACCCCTACCAGTTGACCTGACCTGACCTGACCCGACCTGGTCTAAATGCTTAAAGACATCATCTCTGATCAAAACTAACACGATGATATTCGTGATCAGCACCCCGGAAAACCACATAGCAGCCACACTTTACGACTTTCTAACAGGTCCCGATTTTCCCGGTTTTCGGGTCATTGACCTGACCTGGAAGGTCACCCGGGCCCTGTTTCACCGCCCGACGCTGCGCGCGCTGCAGCGCGCTGGGAGCTGAGGCGTACCCCTGACGTCACTCGAATGACGTTGCGTGCGATCCGTTAGCTTATGATGAATCGCGTTTGGAACAGAGGTCCTAAAGAACCAAGTTCAGAGAGAACAGAGGTTTGAGTGCGAATGCTGCTAGCGTGCTGATGGTGCTGGCGCTTGGGTGCTAGCGTTTTGCGATGACGTCATAGCGTAGCGTCAGAGGGACGTTTGCTGATATTGCCATGGAAACCCAACGCGCCGACGCGCGCAGCGCACTGCAGCGCTCCGCCGTGAAACAGGGCCCCGATGACCCAGGACCTTAAAATTGGGTATCATCGGCTTCCTTTCGTGACGGGCAGCACGCTCGTTTTTTCCGCGAAGCTCTAGCTCGATCAGGGGCCAAACGCGAGGGGGGGAGGTCGTACCAACCAACGTACCAACCTTGTGCCGTCGAAGGACGCAAAATGGCCTGTGCCGGCGAGGGTTAACCACTCGGCCACGACCGCTGATTGCGTGTTGGGGTTGGGGATAAAAGGAAAAATAAGAGAAAATGTTGTTGAATTTTGGTCATGTAACAAATTTGCCAATAATCGTTTAACCCTATTAGTGGCGGGGGTGGGGTTGTTTTCATCCACCTCTCAGGTTTTTCGGAAATATCTTGAAAACGCCTGGAGCTAGTTAGGAAGCTGGGATTTTCTGACATTTCTTCCTACGCCGAACTAAACGGGGAAGAAAGAAAGAGAGGTCGACTTATATCTTCAGGCGCTTTTTACTAGCGACATCTATGGAGAGGAATGTTGAACCATAATGAACGAGTAGCGACCTTCTCGAGCAATAGGCTGCGACTTGCGAGTTGCAATTAACGATACTTTTTTGCAAATGTTGATGAATTAATAAACGAGCGAGTCGGTTTATTTGTAGTTTATCGTAAAAGTCACGGCATGAGCAGACAGACCCAGTGGTGCTTGCTTATTGCTTATATCAACGGGCGTATCTTCAGTTATGTATTCTTTCAAAATGATGATGGACAGCTCCCGCCGAGATTTGAACTCGGATCGCAGGATTCAGAGTCCTGAGTGCTAACCGTTACACCACGGGGCCGTCAACAATGGTGTGGGGGTGGGGATATCCAATAAATTTTCTTCTTGATATGATTATAGATATTGTTATTGAGCTGGGACGGATTCATCTGGTATAAGATTATTCAAATCATTAGCTTATAAGTCTTTATTGGGTAGCTTTCGGAAGCTTTCCAGCTTCCTTCATCAGCCTAGGATACAAAGATATGTTAACCCTCGCCCTGGCAGGGCATTTTTCCTAACACGCGGGGGGGTCCGCTATTTGCGCTTTTGGGACTTTTCTTTTTCAAAATTTAGGTCTTGTTCAGTAGAATCGAATGCTGTTCGAATTTTGAAAATCGGCCAGTGAGATCTCGAGATATCAAGGGGGTCCTAAGCAGCCCCCTTTGCCACCATTAGGGGTCAGGAGCCTGCCACTAAGAGGGTTAAAAAACTCTGATGTACAAATATGGCTGCATATAAAGTAATTGTAAACATAGCCATTTAAGTCTATTACAGTCACATAATCTTGCAGATAATCTTATTCCCTGCTCCCGGACCTCGGCCCCGTGGTGTAATGGTTAGCACTCAGGACTTTGAATCAGGGATGCGGAGCCGGAGCCGGAGTCGGAGCCGGAGCCGCCGGAGCCGGCATATTTTGCCCGGAGCCGGAGCCGGAGCCGGAGCCGTGAAACAATATAGCCCGGAGCCGGAGCCGGAGCCGGAGCCGCCAAAAAAGGGGGCGACTCCGGCTCCTTTTTATTTTTGAAGAGGAAAAACAATAATTGACCTAGTTCGGTTTGACAGTACAAGGCAGTAAAACATATCGTACTATTGGTCTCAATATAAGTGCCCAGGCGACCTGTAGTTTTGATGCGGTGAATACCCTCACCCTCGCCACAATGTGAGTGGGGGTGGCGCTGGCTGGGAGGAGGGGTGCACTCGGCCCGAGTTGTGGCGAGGGTAAGGGTATTCGCATCAAAACTACAGGTCGCCTGGGCCCTTATCTTGAGACCAGTAGTACGTCATGGGCCATCAAGTGAATGAAAAAGCCGAATATCCCCAGTATCCCACATGGTACGCAATCAACTTCCTGTCTGCTCCTCCCCCCCCCTCACGTCTACTGCATCCCCAGAACATGAGGACCGGTCATCAGGTGACGGCCATTGTTTTTAAAGGGACTATCCCACCTTCTAAAATGTTGTTAAAACCAGTTAAATTGTGCCCGACTTTATAGATTGGATGACAAGGAACACGGTTCTGGCATTTATTTTTTCATTAAACATCTTAGGCTTCCCATATTCCAAACACAAACTTTCAAATATGTGACGTCACAGCCCAAAATTACCTCCTTCCCCAGGCCACATTACTGTCATAAAGCTGATTCTTTTTACTCTGTAGGCACCACAACGAAGTTCAGACCAAGTTTTAAGCGATTTTTAAACGAACAAACCCATTTAAATCAGAATGACTAAACGAGGTGACGTCACACTAACGGTCGCTCCATGTTGAAGATAGGGCCTTGTACAAGGCCCATTTTCAAATGAAGGGAACGAATTTCTTCAACACCAAGAGGCCGCGGGGGTTGCAACCTAGATAGATAGTGGTTTCTGAACCTCGCCGCAAACTTGGCTATCTCAACTCAAACCCCATGTTAAAGGTGGGATAGTCCCTTTAAGCCAGTGCAGTGGACTGCGACTCCCAGCACCGTCTCTTCCCACCCCCCACCCCCACCCCCCACCCCCCAATGCAGCCGAGATGGGTGTAAGCTTACGATGGTTCAGTGAACTCCGATTCGCGGCGACTGCGTTTCCAATGCCATCGCTTCCTAGTCCTTTGTTCTGCCAGTTCTCTCCGAGGTGCGTTTGCGCGGGGACGCGGTGAGCCGGTCATGGCAAGAGTAGGTAACGCGTATAACCAATCCAATTTTTCTTCCACCCGTATTTAATTGATTGCAAAGGGGATGTACTGAGTCGGAGCCGGAGCCGCCGGAGCCGGAGCCGCCGGAGCCGAACC